TGTCAGGCTCAAGAGCTGCTACTCTGCACCCATGGTAAACAACTCTCTTCAGTTTGCAGGTTGTGCCTGACTGCTCCAGCCACGGTGCCATGCCCTAGTCTCCTACCTCAACAGGGCCAACTGACCATGAACTGAAACCTCTGAAACCATGAACTAAGACAAACCTTTCCCTCTTTGAAGTCAGTTATCCAGGTATTTGTCCCAATAATGAAAAGCTGACTAACATATTGATGTAAACAAATCTTAGTAACAGTAATATCATTCATCTGCGCTAGAGGCTGGGATGCGGACCTGTGACATGGTTCTGGCCAGTGAGATATGAGAACACTGTTGAGAGGCTTCTGGGAAATTTTTTCCTTCTCATTATACAGATGTATATGGAGAGGGTCTTTCCTTGCTCACTTGTCCCTGATTTTTGATACTGTGATGTGAAAATGCCCAGCTAAGTACTGGTATAACCATCTGTGACCTCGTGGGGAGCTGTGACTGACATTCCTTGTTCCCTGAGCTGCAGGAGCAACCTAAACAGTCCACTTCCAGGCTTATGGTTAAACAAAATAATAAATGTTCTTGGTATTTAAACTTCTTTTGATGGAATATTCTGTTATTCACAGTCAAAAGTTTCCAAGAGATAAAGACACACTCAGTAATGTCTCATGAGTGATTTCAACAAATAGCAGGTTTCCTGATGGTCTTGGTTGGACTCTTCACCTGGGAGAGGTAGTGAAGCAGGTTCTAAGATGGAGCAATTCACAGAATCTTATTGATTCATCTACTGACAACTAGAATATTCTCCACTCCAATGAAACACTAACTAGTTAGCATTCTTTGCAATCAGCTGCTAAATGGGCACTTATTCCTTAGTATCCTTGTCAACAGCTTGAGCTCCATGGAGCATCTGGCCTGGGGTAATGTGGTAGGAATAAAGTGGTAAGGCAAAATAACATTGAATATCCATAGGTAAGAGCTGAGCCCCATTAAGTAGAAGATTTTTCTATAATTTTTCAGCTGATAAGTTTTAGTTCAATTCCACAGTCTTGTCTGTCCAGTTCCATGCAATAAATTTTCATTGCTTTGTAAATGTCCGGTGAGTTTCACTTTAATGTTTTTATGCTTTTAAATCTGTATGCAAAGATTGCATAGGCTATCAATTTGATGAACTCCTCCACAGGGACTGTATGAGAAATATAATTAAAGCCCTGAAATTCCACACTGGCAAAAGCAGAATGTCTTGAAATAAATATTAGAATTTTAAGTTGATTTTTATTCCATGCCAGAAAAAAAAAATCTTCATCACATCTCTGTTATAGCTATAAAAATCATGACAGGGATGGGGATATAGCTCAGTGGTTCCACTGCTTGCCTTCCAAACACAAAGTCCTGAGTCCCCAGTACCAAAAAAAAAAATCATTAGGCTGGGGATTTAGCTCAGTGGTTCTGCCTCCTGCCTGGCAAGTGCAAGGACCTGAGTTCGATCTCCGGTACCAAAAAAAAAAAAAAAAAATCATTGGGAGGAAATGTGAGCATTAATAAACTATTTATTTAGCTTGTATTTTTCAAGAGTATATCTGATATATCAAGATAGACTACATATATTAACTATGAGGGATGTATGATATAAAGTATGATGTAAAATTTTATGAGCTAAGCCTGCAGATAAAAAGCATCTATGAGTTTATCATATTGTTGAATTCTTTGCATCCAAGAGTGGATAAGATTTTACCATTACCCAATCTACCACCCATAAAATTCTCTTCTTAACTTGAAATCCAGGAATCCTGCAGGTATTTTCAAGGGGCTATAAACATTCTTAAGCTCCTACTGATCTTTATAGCTCCATACAGCCTAGGAAGTAGCTCTTATTCTTACAGATTAAAAGCATTGACTTGAAAACATTTATCCACACATGTACTATGTCAGGACAGCAGGCCGGACTTGAGCATTGAGGCCACCAGGCCTCAGGTCTTTTTACTACCTGTGTTTACAGCAGATCCCTTAAGCTCTGAGCCTCCACTTTCAAGCCGAGGCAACAATTCATGAATTAATCTTTGGGGCTCATTTTAAACTCCAAATGGACAACAGAAATGAAATGTTTCAGATGAAAGCAATTTGGAAACTGTATGTATAATTAATATTTTGTCTTTAATCTATCTAAGGTATATAAAAGATGTTGATAATTTTATTTCTAAAATAATTTCACTTGCAAAACCTATGTAAAATTCTGTTAAACAGCCATCAGGCAACTGTAGAGGAACACAGGCATAATACATAGGCCATTGGTGTGTTAGCTTAAATATTTTCCCATGTAGTGTTCTTCAGTGAAGTAAGCTGTACAGCTTTATTGCTTCAAATAATTGATTCCTATAATTCTGCCCCTGTCACCCTTTTCAATTGTTCTGGCTTGCGTGACAGACTTCTGGCTTTCTGGGATGGCTTGCTGCAGATCCCAGTAGCAGATTTACAAGGTCACTTTAGACAAGACCCTAGGCACAAGAGCATAGCTAGTAACTGCTGTGCAACAGGGTTTTAGGCTATTTCAACTGAGATAGTAATTGTACAATTATCAATTTCAAGTGAAGATGAGGCAGAGCATAAAGGGGCAGCACACAAAGAAACATCCAGAGCCCCACCACAGTTCTGGACCCCTTGTCCAGACTGAGTCTGACAATAAGGGGTCAGAGAGTGGTAGGGGAGGATGTTGGAGAAAAGTACTTTTGGAGAAAGGAATGTGGAGTGATACTTCTTTTGTTCAAATCAGTAAGAAAGAGATGTGTCTCAAACCAAGTGGGCCTACCAGAGACAGCAGTCCTGTAGCAGCAACACAGGGGGCTACATTGGGATGAGCCTGCATGCTCAGAGTTACTGGGGCAAGAGATGTATGGGGTTTTCTTTGGGATGCATTTAAAGGGCCAGTACAAGCTGGAGTGACCGTTGGAGGTTTAGGTGCAGGGGAGGAAGCAAAGGCTAGTAGTGAATAGTACAGTATCCATTGCATCAGGAGACCCCAGGACAGAGGTCCTCATCAGTGAGAACTCCAAAGAACCCAAATGCGTACATGGGCCAGTACAGCAAGCTTGAGACCATTCAAATCCAGGAAGAAGGGTTCCATTTCTTTCCTCTCATCCCTCTCTGTGCCCACTTGTGTCCATGCTGAATCTTATTTTTAAGAGAATAGTGTCTAATTTATTCTTTTTCATTAAGTTAATTGGTACATATTAGGTATACAATACAGTTACATTTATCATTGGGATCTTGTACCTTTACATGATGTATCTTAGTTCTTATTTTTTCCCCATTCCCCTTTGAATCTTATATAGTCTCTATGGCAGTGGTGGTGAACCTATGGCACCACAACTGGCTGTTTATCACTGAAAACTCTGAAAGGTTCACCATCACTGCTCTGGGGCATAGAGGAGGGCAAGCCTAAACTAACTGTATCTCTTCTGGGAAAGCTTGCTACAGACCTTAAGCCTAGGGTGGGAATATGGAGATGAAGGCTTAATTTCAAGTGGAGTTTGACACATTTGTTGCACCCAATGTAATTTTTTTTTTTGGTACCAGGGATCGAACTCGGGACCTTGTGCTTTCCAGGCAGGCACCGGAACCACTGAGCTAAATCCTCGGCCCCACCCAATGTAATTTGGAATGAAGCTGACATTGAAACGGTTATTATCAGATCATCAGTTATCTAGGAATGAGGAGAAAATTCAAGGATTCTACCTAACTTTCCATCAGTGGATACATTTTTTTTTTTTTGGTTCCGGAGACTGAACTTGGGTCCTTGCGCTTTCGAGGCAGGCGGTGGAACCACTGAGCTAAATCCCCGGCCCCATTGAATACATTTTTAAATGACTAAGAGCGGCCAAAATAGTTGCATTTTGTCACATCTCACAAGTTGTGAATTCAAATACTAGTTACGGTTTTATATGACAGATAAATGTCTCTACACAATGGACTCCGGTGGCGATTAAGTGGCACTTGCTATAATTTATGCTGAGTCAGTAGAAAACATTCCCACCCCAAAAAAGCACAAATATTTAGTATCAGGTCCTAAAATCAATCAACTAGTCATTTATTGTCTGTGAAATCTTATTGGATACTTTGAAAGATGGGTATCATTTCTCACGAAGCACACAGTATGTGCTCAAAAATATTTTCAATTTAAATATTCTTTACAAGATACTTAGCACCAAGGAATGTGGCGTTTCCCCAATGTTGACAACAACACTTAAGCTGAAAAATCCCTATATTTATAATCGTGGTGTAAACCTGAGTGGGGAGTGATTACGGTCTCACTTGTATTTAACACTGTAAAGTGTTGCTGAATTATATAAGAGGAGAGAACAAAATTAAAACTAGAAACAAAAAAATGGAGTTCTTTGAAACATTCAACCGTGATGATACAGTACAAAAAAAAAAGAGAGAGAGAGAGACTAGCCAGAGGGAATCTAGACTTGAATCTCGCTCTGCCACTCACTAGACCGCCGAGGTCCTCTCCTGTGAACAGTTTCCAGGCTGCCCACCTCAGAAGTGGCAAAGCCTCTTTAAGAGCTCTGTGAACACGCTTTGTAAATCCTGAAGCGCTACACAGATGCAAGGACTAATGGCCAAAAGCTGAACACTGATGGGCACATGCATGGCGCTTTAGATCTATCTTCTCAATCTCCAGAAAACCTCAAGACGTAGTTACTACTACAAACAACCCTCCAATTATGTATGAGGACACTGAGAGTTTGTTAAGGAACTGGCTCCAAGATATACTGAGCCACAAGTGGAAGCAGTAAATCCTGATTCTTACCCCAAACATTATAGCTGCCGTCCTGCCTACTGTAATTTAATAAGCGGTACGGGAATCTCACAAAGGATCAGCAAATGTAGTTCCGCAAATTGCTAGTTTAAAAGAAGACGCCTGCCCAGGCTTTCCCTGCGACTTCCCTCCGGCCTTGTACTCCAGTACCTGACGCCGCCACGCCTCGGCATTTCTACGCATGCGCCGGTGGGTCGGCGCAGGCCCAGTAGCAGAGCAGCGCCCGCCTGCTATTCCGCCTGCCTGCTCCATCGCTGCTGCTGTAGGAAAGGCGGAGGATGAGCTGAACTCCGCGGGGGTTTCTGTCTTCACCTCTGTCACAGGTACTTTGGGTCAGGTCTGGAGTCCCCATCCCTGTGTCCACTCCAAACTCATTCCCCGGTCCTCCACCTGTCCAGCGGTGGCCTGTACAGGTTGGCGTCCTGGCGGGAGGTGGTTTGTGTACGGTTACCATGGAGGCGATGGCCGGCCTGGAGGAGCCGGAGCTCAGGAGAGCGAGGGCGGGAGCGATGAGGATGTCGCCGAGCTCTGTCCTGCCCTGGACCGGTGGATCAGCGGGCATTGCCGGGAGTAAGAGAGCCGCTGTCTGCGCGGGAAGTGAGGTGACCCCCCCGGGTTGCTATCCTCAATCAGAAGAGAGGCGATGAAGAGGTCGGGCACAGCTATTTCTATACACCGAGTTCTTGGCCAGCCGCCTGGTACTTAATAGATGCTCAGTAATATTTGTTGAATGAGAGGGTGGTAGACTGAAGAGTTTTGTCAAGGCAGGCGACATAGCCATGGTCACCCAGACTATATCTGGGGTTGGGGCTGGGGGTTTAGCTCAGTGGTTTCGCCGCCAAAGCGCAAGAACCTGGGTTCGATCCCCGGTAACAAACACAAAAACAAAATAGACTGTACCTGGGGTCTTGTAGCAACAGATAGTAAAGTGTATAATAAAGTGTATATGTAACAATGTTTACCATGCATTAAAATACACGGATATGTATGATTATTACCAGTATCACAGTAGGCCTTCCTTCCCACCCTGATTTAGAATTCTTTTAACTTGGTAGAAGAACAAGTTGTACTCTTTATTTATATCCTATTTTGTGAATTTATAAGACGTTTGGGATAGTGATATTCAATAAAATACTTAATAAAAGTATCTAGAAATTACCCCAATTTAAGTTCTAAAACTTATGAAATGAATGAAAACACTGAACAAATATTTTTTCTCTCTTTTTTTAAAATTCCCTTTCCTTTTTAAATGAAGTTTTCATTCACTGGAGAAAATTTTTTCTGTATTCCTTTATTAAATTAGCACTTGGACAGTAGTTTGTTAATATTTTCTAATGGCCTGGCACCATGCTAAAGCACTTTACATGGATCATTTTACTTAACTCTCAAAACAATCCTGAGAGAATTCTTATTACTATCAATATTTTAGAAGAGGAAACAGGCTTAGAGTTTTATACAGGCCTTTGCCACAAGCACAGAGGCTTGAACTGTTGGAGGACTCAAACCCTGACACAGCATCTAAGCGCTTTACCACTGCCAGGTGGGAGGCTTATATTAACACTGCTGGGTGGGAGGCTTATATTAACACAAAGTAGTTCAAAGTCCTGGAAAGGGGCTGAGTGTTTAACTTAAGGGAAAAGTGTGCAGATGGCCAGCCTGACCCCTGTTGCCAACACCCTAATAACACAGAATTGCATTTAGCAAGAAGGCTTTTGTTCTGGTGGCTATTAGCAGTAAAGGTAAAGACAGATTTTTATAATTAGGTATGAGATTCTATAAATGACACTCTGGACTTTCTCTGAAACTAATGAGAAATATTTTCCTTTAAATAAAAAGTTCTGGAGTTTTGAATAGCCTTCTGCTGGTGGCGTCCCTCCCTAGAGTCTTATGTGCACCACACACAGACTCAGGACAACTGATGCAAGACAGAACTCAACCTCTTCTCTCCCTTCATGGTTTGCTTTTCTCCCTGCTTGTTTGTGTGTGTGTGTGTGTGTGTGTGTGTGTGTGTGTACCAGGGATCCAATTCAGGACCTTGCACTTGCAAGGCAGGCAGTGGAACCACTGAGCTAAATCCTCAGCCTCCCTCTCCCCCCCCCCGCCCTCCCTCCCATCCTCCCTCCTCCCTACCATCCTCCCTCCTCCCTACCCAGGTCTACATTCCCACTGTTATCTCTGATTTCTTCCTGTCTTCTAGCATGCCAGTTCCTGTTAGTTTCTTGGTTCTTATGCCCCTCACCTTCTCTCTTCTCTCTTTTCACTTCTGTGACATAGGCTTCCCACACTTCATTCACTGAGAACAGCATTAATCAAGTCCTACTCTATGCTGGGCAACTTGAAATAAAGACAAGAAAGGGAAAGGGGGCTAAATTTGAACTCATATTACATATGGCATCATAAATCGATGCCATTTCAAATAAAGTCTGATAGTTTTTGTAATCCTCTGTAACAAATATCTTCAATTAAAGAAGCCATGCAGCCCTCACTTGGAAATCCCTTAGCTCAAGTCTATATTGGAAACTGGATTTGAGCAATTGTGCAAGTGCTGATCTTGTCTGTGTCTCCCATGGGAGGTTGAGTCTCAGACTCTGATGGGACAACCCTAGGTGCACAAGCACTTATGACACAATGGGAAGATGTAGAGACAGAGATGGGTTTGGGGGCTGGGGGAACACCTTGTGGAGTAGATGAAGAATACTAATCTCTGACTAGGAGGGTGGGAAAGAAATGTCCAGGAAAGATTCCTTGAACAAATGACCTCTGAGAGTTGAGTTAGGTGAGTGATTGTAAAAGAACTGCCTGATTTTGCCACTTCTAGTCTTTCCCTCCTTCCTATCCATCTTTCCTTGGCAGATCACAAATCTTTCTTTTTTTAACCTATGGCCTTCGAATTGAACTGTATTCTCTTTGCTCTCCCTGTCATTCTCCCTCCCTCTCTTCCTTCCTTTTCTTCTTCCTCAGCCTCCCAGAGTGCTGGGATTTCAGGCATGCCCTACCATACAGTTATTTAAATTTGTTTATCAGCTTTTATTTCTTTACATGACCTTTGATTCTCTCTCTGGTTTGGCTCCAGTCTTTGCTTTTAGAGTTCGCTCTTATCCACAGACACCCCATGTATTTTTGATGTTCTTCCTTTGCTCATTCATTGACTTTGCTGGAAGTTCTTCCTCTACTCCAGCCCCAATGCCAGCCACTGCCACTTGTTCAAATTCAGCCCATTTTTCCAGCTTAGTTTAACTAATACCTCTGCCATAATCCTGCCAGATGCCCTCTCTTCCTCCTTTGCAATCGTGTGGTAATTTATCTTTATTTTTATTGCTGCCTCAAGTTCTTCCTTGTATTAAAATCATTCTGAATAGAAGAAAAAATGGAAACAAAGTTTTTGTACATAGGGAGGGGAGGGGGCTTGGGGAGAATGGGATAAAATAAAATTTATTTTAAAAATAATAAAATCACCCTAAAAATGATATCACCCTATATTGATATTCAGGGCTGATATTCAGCTGGTGCACACCAAGAAAGCTACACTGGTGTGAGTATTGGTGTGTCCCTATGGTAGTGAGTAAACAGTTGCCGCCCATGGCCTTCTGCCTCCCACTACACCATCTAGTAGGGAATAGTATTATTAGCCCCTCTGGCACATGTCACAGCTTTTCTTTTACTATTGCATAAGACTGTCCACATCACAGAATTGCCGCAGGGATTGAGATGATGTGCTTGGTATTAAAATAAATGTTTAGTATTAGTGATCTATCTTGCTGGGAATTAAAACAGTATTTTATTTCTCTGTTCCTGGAGACCCAAGCAGAGGGATTTGCACATAGGAAATAGTTGATCAATACTAGTTGAATGAATTTGTTCAGGAAAATTTTGTAAGGTTAAAATTTCTATGGTAATATTGTGTTATGGTTCAAGGATGCTTTACTGTAATTGGACAGGCTTTCCATGCTGAGTGATTATTTTTCAAGTTAGTAAAAACTTTCTATAATAATTTGTAATTTAATTAACCCAAGAAAAAAATCCTCCCCCCACAAAGAATCCCACTTTTAACCATTTACTTGTACTATTAAATATGTCCATGATTGAGTTAGTTAAGAATATATTAATTAATGTAACAATAAAAAATTAACAGTACAGATCTTATATTATTCCAGTTTCTCATCAAGTAAAGGTTAAAGTGAGATTTAGAGGGAAGAGAAAAAAGGGATACAGAAAGCTATGCTAGAATTTGTGCTAAAATTTTACAGACAAAAATATTTTAAGGCCATTATTTACATTGTGTCCACTCTTACTTGGTCAGCCTAAATTCCTGTGGGCACAGATAATTTACAGAATGTGCCCTGAGTAAATATTCCTGCTTTATTACTTGTGAAGCAGAATACTTTTCAATGCAAACTAAAAGAGCCAGGAAGAACTTTGGGTCAGGAGTGAGAGTCCATTATTACTCCCCAAAGCACTTTCTTTAATCTTTATTAGGTTTGCCAGGTTTCCTTTGGGCATTGCTAGACTTGTTAGTGCTATGTGAGGCCTAAAGGGTGGCAGATCTGATTTAGGCTACAGAAGAAACCTCTTCTCAGTAAGGGGCACAATTTTGTACTGCAATTGTTTTTCTTTGGGGAGTGGTGGGATCAAACCCAGGGCCTCTGTATGCTAAATGCATGCTCTACCACTGAGCTACATGCCCAGCCCAGCACTGGGTCTTTTGTAAACATAGCAACAAACCTGTCAAGACCACTTTAGTTAGATGTTGCTGGACTGAATTTATATTATGCATTCAAAAATAATATATGTAAACTCCCTGGCGTGATTCCATCCTGTGTGTCTGTTCTCTGGGGCAGTAGCTGTTTATTTCCGTCTGCGTTCTCTCCCACCTAAGTGCATGCCACCAATCCATGGAAGATTCGATGGATATGGACATGAGCCCCCTGAGGCCCCAGAACTATCTTTTTGGTTGTGAACTAAAGGCCGACAAAGATTATCACTTTAAGGTGGATAATGATGAAAATGAGCACCAGTTGTCATTAAGAACGGTCAGTTTAGGGGCTGGTGCAAAGGATGAATTGCACATTGTGGAAGCAGAGGCAATGAATTACGAAGGCAGTCCAATTAAAGTAACACTAGCAACTTTGAAAATATCTGTACAGCCAACGGTTTCCCTTGGGGGCTTTGAAATTATACCACCCATGGGCTTAAGGTTGAAGTGTGGTTCAGGGCCTGTGCATATTAGTGGACAGCACTTAGTGGCTGTGGAGGAAGATGCAGAATCAGATGAGGAGGAGGAAGAGGATGTAAAACTCTTAAGTATATCTGGAAAGCGATCTGCCCCTGGAAGTGGTAGCAAGCTTCCACAGACAAAAGTAAAACTAGCGGCTGATGAAGAAGATGATGATGATGACGACGATGATGATGATAATGAAGATGATGGCAGTGATGATTTTGATGACGAGGAAGCTAAAGAGAAAGCACCAGTGAAGAAATCGATATGAGATACTCCAGCCAAAAATGCACAAAAATCAAACCAGAATGGAAAAGAGTCAAAACCATCAACACCAAGATCAAAAGGTCAAGAATCCTTCAAAAAACAAGAAAAGACACCTAAAGCACCCAAAGGACCTAGTTCTGTAGAAGATATTAAAGCAAAAATGCAAGCAAGTTTAGAAAAGGCACATTGAACAGTCCTGGGCACTACTGATAAATTTAAGCCCAAAGATGGAGAGAAAGGAAAAGGAGAGACAAATAATAGTCCATTCTGAGTATCATCAACGATCCAGACTGAAGTCTTCTATTTTAATCTCAGTCCCCTTTCCTGATTTGCCACGACCCTCTTCCAAGCTGGAAGCAATCTTTTTCCTAAAGCACCGTTTTTTCCTTTACTTTTTTGACTGCTGTGATTCAGTGAACCTTACATAATGCTTTCTGTTGTGCATATGCCTCATCTCTTGTTTTAATTACCTTTGTATTTCTTAGCTGCTCAATAAATATTTGAATGAATCAAAAAAATATATGTAAGTATATATGTATATACCTGAAAGATTTTATATATTTACAAATAAATCATATTGAATATAAAATGAAGAGACAGTCATGTCAGAAGTATTAGAAGTAAAATATACTAGATCTGCTCTCATTTTTTATAGCTGTGTTAATATACATAATTCTAGAAACTTTGCTTAAGTTCAAAATCTTGTATGAGTAATTCCTTGCATAGTATTGGTTACCCAGTTACTTTTTCCTGTTTTAATGCAACACCTGGCTTTTTCATATGAAAAGAGTGACATATTGTTTGTAGTTTTTATCGAAGTCTTTTCCTCGAAAACTCTTGGGGTAGGGTCGGGGTAGAACTAAACAAATGTTCTTATTATTTATTGTTATGTAAAAACTTAAATATAGAATCAGTATGTAGTAAATCTTTTCTGAGGAGTCACCTGTTCATGCTACTTATTAGTTTCCTTTGGCATATATCACAATATTTTCTTTTTTGTGAAAACCATTCTAAAATTGGGTAGCTGGAATCTGTGAATAATTTATAGTCCTGTGTCTCTTTAGAGATTTTTGTAGGGTTAGAAATTTTTTTATTTTTTAAGGTTAAAGATTTTTTAAAGAAATGCATACCTAATACCATATACCAATTAGAATTAAACTTTTAAAAATCTGGATGACTTTGAGGGTGCTACATCTTCTGTAAAAGGGAAAGGGACCAAGAGAAGGAGGGAAGAGAGAGAAGGGGATGAAAAAGAGAATTAATACATGTTAGTGTATGTCCCAACTCCCCATGAGAAATGTAATAATCACGTACCGCAAAAATGTACTAATAAAAAAATAAAAATTGAAGAAAACTAAAAAAAATCTGGACCATTTTAAAGCCAGATTGGTCTTCATGGGATACACCAACTTTTGAGAAGGATCTGCATTCTTGTGATCTTTGTCCATGACTTTAACTCTTTAACTGAGCAAGATGACTGGGAAAGGAATGGTTTATACTGATGTTTGGTATATATTCCTCTAGGACACTATCCCAAATTGAAGGTGATTTGAATCAACTCATTCAAAAATATAATAGACAATTATGGGGCTGAGCCATTCCCAGAGGTTTGTTATAAAGCAAATGTAGTTTGGAAGTAAGCCCCGTCTGTCTAAAATTTAGTGGAAGGAAAGGAAACGTTAAAGTTTTAAGAGATCCCCTAATGTTGTCTTTTAGGTTGAATATAAGATATGGGTTGAGGATGTAGCACAGTGGTAGAGTGCTTGCCTACCATGTGTGAGGCCTGAGTTCGAGCCTCAGTACTATCCCCACCCAAAAGTGAGATGATTCTCTCTTCTCATCTTTCTTCCCTGCTCATCTTTTCTTTGATCACACATTGGCACAACTTGCAGCCCATGTTTTTGAGAGCTATTCTTTCATCTTTACCTTCTGTTTAGATTTTTAATTAAAAATTATTTATGGTTTTTTTAAAGCTTAATATAAAAGAATGGTTTAATATATGGCAGGGCTTAAGCGCTCCTTTCTAAAGCACTGGACAGCAGCAGTTGATATTTATTGTATTATATGTTTGCAGGGTGTGGTGTCTGAAAACCATTTTACTTTAAAAAGGAAAGATGCTGTCTTCAAATGATAAGAAGTTAGAAAAAATGGATCCATTTCACCAACCTTCAGTGTCCAAGCAGAAGACCAGTGCAGAAATCATAAGTGAAGCACGAAATGCATTACGAACAATTAGAACCCAAAGACCATTTACACCCCAGGAAGTCCAAAGGAAACTATTTGGACCTGCATCATCAAGAACACCAGAAAGTAGGCCTCCTTCCTCCTTCAGGTATATGACATTTTACTTTTAGGTACATTTGGGTCACCAGATTACATTTTCTCTTAATTCTGCTCTATTTATCTGTCCTTTCTTCCAAACCCTGGCAACCACTGATTTTTTTTTTCTCCATAGTTTTGCCTTTTCCAGAATGTCATATAGTAGGAATCATACAGTATGTAGTCTTTTCAAACTAGCTTCCTTCACTTAGTAATATGCATGTTAATTTCCTCCATTGATTTTTGTGATTTTCATTGATTTTTCATGACTTGATAGCTCATTTCTTTTTGGTGCCTAATGATATTCCATTGTCTGGATGTACCACAGCTTACTTATTCACCTACTGAAGGACATTTCAGTTCCTTCCAAGTTTTGGGAATTACAAATGAGGCTGCTATCAACATCAATGTACAAGTTTTTATATGAGCATAAGCTTTCAGCTCCTTTGGTTAAATAGTAAGAAGAAAGTTGCTGGATTTATGGTAAGAGTATCTTTGGTTTTATACAAAACTGCCAAACTGTCCTCCAAAGTGACTATACCATTTCATATTTCCACTAACATGAATAAGAGCTCCTGTTCCTCTCATCCCCTCACCAGCATTTGATGTTGTAAGTGGTCTGGAGTTTGGCCATCCTAATGGGCGTGTAGTGGTACCTCTTCTCTTAATTTTCATTTCCCTGGTGATATATGATGTGGAACATCATTTCTCCATCTACATGTCTTCATTGGTCTGGCATTTGTGACCCAGTTTTTGGGGGGGGGTTGTTTGTGTCTTTATATATGTTGTTATTTTTGTTATTGTCATCAATTGGTTTTTGTTTTTGAGACAAGGTCTCTCTCTGTATTCTAGGCTGGCCTCAAACTCACAGTCTTCCTGTCTCAGCCTCCCAAGTGCTAAGATTACAGGTATAGGCCACCACACTTGGCTTATTATTGAATTTTAATAATTCTGTGAGTATTTTGAATAACCATCTTTTATCTTGTACTGTATGTCTTTTGCAAATGTTTTCTACCATTTTTTTTCTTCTTGCTCTCTTAACAGCGTCTTTTGCAGACCAGACATTTTTAATTTTAGTTAAGTCTAGCTTACCAGATCTTTCTTTCATGGATCGTGCTTTGGTGTTGTATAGGAGTTATTACTTTACTCAAGGAAATGTAGATTTTCTTTTATCCTATAGGAAGTTTATAGTTTTAAGTCTCATATTTAGGTCTGTGATAGAATTTGAGCTAATTTTTGTAGGGTGTATTTTCTGTGTCTAATTTCTTTTTTCTTTTTTGCATGTAGCTGTTCATTTGTCTTAGTACCATATGTTAAAGGCTATCTTTCTGTAGTGCACAAAGTCCCTGATCAACTTAACAATTTTGTGTTTTACAATCATGTGAAAATGATATGTATTCCATAGAACCTGGACTTTAAATTTTCATCTTTTCCTGGCACAGCCATATGCAGTGGGATACTCTCTTGTGATGCTGGGCAGCATTGGCAAGCTGTAGCTTCTAGTCAGCCACATGATTGTGAGGGCAAACAACCCATACCTGGCAGTGTACAGTACTGGTATATTAAATGCATTTTTGACTAGGAAATGTTCAACTTGTGCTAGGTTTCCCAGGCTATCACTTCATTGTAAGTTAAGTAAATCTTTACCTTTGCTTTGTTGTCAAAGATCAACTGACTATATTTATGTGGGTCTATTTCTGGACTCTGCATTCTGTTTCATTAGTCTATTTGTCTGTTCTTTCACCAATACCACACTGCCTTGATTACAGTATATAGTTTGTTTTGAAGTCTGGTATTGTCATTCTTCTGAATTAGTTCTTTTCCTTCAATGTTGTGTTGACTATTCTAGGTCTTTTGCCTCTCCATGATAACTTTATAATTAGTTTATTGATAGCTACAAAATTACTTGGCATTTTTCTTGAGATTGCATTAAATCTTAGATTGAGTTGGGACCAACTGACATCTTGATAATATTGAATCTTCCTAACCATGAAAATGGAACGCCTCTCCATTTATTTAGTTCTTTGATTCTTCCATTGATTCTTACGATCTTTCTCATACAGATGTTGTACATATTTTATTAGATTTGTATTTATTTCATTTAAGGGGATGCTGATTTACGTGGTATTGTGTTATCATTTCAGTTACCACTTGTTCATTTCTGGTATATAGAAAAGCAACTGACTAACCCTGCTATAGTCACTTATTTTAGGAGTCTTTTGTCAGTTCCTTAGGATTTTCTACATAGGTGATCATGCCATCTGCAAACAAAGTTTTGTTTCTTTATTCCCAACTCATATGCCTTTTATTCCCTTTTCTTGTCTTATTGCATTACCTAGGACTTCCAGTATGATATTGAAAGCTGTGGTGAAAGGGGACACTCTTGCCTCGTTCCTGATCTTAGTGAGAAATCTTCAAGTTTCTCATCATGAAATATGATGTTGGCTGTATGATGTTTTTAGATATTCCTTATTGAATTGAAAAGGTTTCCTTCTATTCTTCTTTTACAGAGAGTTTTTATTGTGAATGGTGTTGGATTTTATCAAGTACTCTTTCTGCATCTATTGATGTGACCCGTATGATTTTTCTTCTTTAAGCATGTTAGTGTGATGGATTATGTTAATTGATTTCAAGATGGTTATTTTTTTTAAGTTTGACTTTGTTCAGGATTTCTAAAGATAATTCTAAATGTTGGGTCCACGAAGTTATTTTGGAATAAAAAGGTTAGTAGTGATTGTCATACCAACTTCATCAAGTGATATGAACAAAGTTTTAAAAAAAATCATTATATACATTTATTTTCATTATTTAATATTTTAAAAATCTTCCCCAAAGTAGTAAAAAGCTCATTAATAAAATATTTTAAGTACTATAACATTTTAAAATTTCTGTTTTCTCAAGGCTTATGAGTTAAATGCTTTTACTTGTTTTTCAGCAACACGTTGCTAACCTATGCTAGAAATAAAAGAAATAATTCTTCACACACTATAACTCTGCACTATCTCTTATGTTAGCCTCCATGCATCCAGTTTTGAGTCATCTGATTGCAGACCTATCTCTGGCACCCGTCTCAGTCCACTAGAGCTGGTGAGTACTTTATACTCTGTTGCCACAAGGGTTGAAATGAAACTGGCCCAGACACTTGGAATCAGCACTTCTGTGTGCTAGGGAAATTATCACATAGACTTAAATGTACTGTTAATTTAATATGAAAGCATATTCCTTTATAGTTATCAAATATCATGGTTAATATATCTAAGGAAACAATTCTCAAATTTACTTCTAGTTTGATAAAGAAGAATTTTAAAAAATATAGTAATTTATTTCTATTTTTAAAAAACATATGTATTATTTTCTTTTTAATAGTTATATGTAAAGTTTTATATTTAAAAATTTTGCTATATATGTATGGGAGGAAATAGATAGATGGCAGACAGAGATTTGTTACAAAGAACAACATAAAAAACCTAGTGGTGGCCAGGGATTTAGCTCAGTGGCACCACGCCTCCCTTGCAAGCGCAAGGTCCTGAGTTTGATCCCCAGTACAAAAAAACCCCCCAAAAGCCTAGTGATGTCCTGGTCCCTTATTCCTCATTATCTTTTCCCAGTGGCCTTCTTTTGGTACTTACATCCAGATTTTTAAATACCACATTGTCTTGCTGCTCTCTGACTTAGGAGCTTAAGGATTTATCTAATGACTTCTTACTAAGCATGATAAAGATTCAGCTTTTGTCTGTCCCTATACATCCCGTCACAACACATTCATCCTTTCTGTCCCTGCTGGTGCTACCAGTATAGATGTATCATAACTTTGGCTAGATCGGTTTTCTTGAACTATAATTATGTACACCCTGTTTGTACTGAGTCATTAATGATGACTAATGATACAACTTCGCTTTACCTGCACCACTTTTTGTTTTCTCTTGTGTTAATAGTTGACTTATGTTTTTAGTTTGTGTTGTTCCTATTTCAACCCCAGACTCTTCCCCCAAAATCTGAATTGCCTTTGTGTGTTCAGGCACATGAGGTGTTCGTGGGCTCAGCTCCCTGGGGCGCTCTCTGGATGTCCTGCACTTTCCCTGGGCATCTGCTGCCTCATTCTTCACATTATCCCGGAGGCCACTCCTCCCTCAGTGGGGGCTTTTCCCTGTCTTCTGCATCTTTTTTTTTTTTAATTTACTCTGATTTTGGTAGAGCATTCCCTCCCACAGCTTCTTGAGAAAGAGTGCATGGAAAGTAAATTATTTAAGACCCTTGAGTTCTCTTTGTCCTTTCTAGAAGTTTGTAGGGGTTTTTCTGTTTGTTCTGACATTTCATGGTAATGGGCTTTTGGTAGCTGAACACTTAAAGTGCCCTTTCAAAGTAGAATTTGTGCCTTTAATCTCTGAGAAGTATCCTTGAATTATTTTGATTATGTCTCCCTCACTTTTAAAACCATTTCTATTAGTGTGTATTAATTGTACATACTAATTGAGTTGCATGTGGTATTTCCATATATGCATACAGTGTGCACTAATCTAATGTTTGCTCTTCTAAAATGTATTATTCTAACATATAATCTGCTGGATCAACTCTTTCATTTTTCTGTTGTACATCTTATTTGGAAAGAGACTTTATATTCTAATCCCTTTATTGAGTTATTTTTATTTCTATCCTATTTCTAATTTCCCAAAGTTCGTTTTTCTTAAGAATTGTGTTTTTATGTCTTGTTTCATGGTTGCAGCATCTTATCTGAATATATTAGTGATAGATTTGATTTTGGGGGGTGGGAAGAGTTTGAGACTGGGTATCACTGTGTAGTCCAGGCCAGCCTTGAACTCTTGATGCCCTCCTGCCTCAGTTTCCCAAATGGTAAGATTACCATGCCCAGCTAATTTGTTTTAGCTCAGTTTTCTGCCCCCTTTACAGCTTCTATTGCATTTTTTGCTTACTTTGGTCTCTGTTTCTCATGCTTGAGAAGCTCTCCTCTAATACCTCCTCTTGCTTGTTGTCGTGTGGATGGGGCTGGTTAATTTATAAGTTATTCCTACCCACACCTGTGGTCAGGGGGATCTGGCTGGGTTGTATTCTTGCTGACACCTCCAGTAGCATATCTTTAGGGAGTCTCTCATGGGCTACTCAGATCCCTAAAGAAGACGTCTTCCATGCTGTCTCCTAGAAGACAGAATCTGGTTGCTGGCTTTCAGAGCCAAGTGGGGAAGAAGGCAGGAATGCCTAAAATCAATATGTAAATATTCAGTGAATAACCACGTTTATAATAAGTATCCCGAATTCAACAATAAACATATCTCTTATAGCAGGAACTCTTACTTAGTGATGCTGGTTAGAGATGTCTGTTTTACCTTCTCTCAATAATAAATTTTCTACCTTCTCCTGGGTTCAAGGCCTGACTGCACAAAGCTAGGAGGGGAAAGAATTACAAAGAATTTCAGGCAATCTTCCTTATTCTGGCCACTCTCCCCTTAGGCCTCTGCTACCAAAAGTAATACCAGTTCTTTAGACTTCTATGGAGATGGAATGTTAGTCAACCTTCTTTTTCAGTATTTATTACTGTGCGTGCATGTGTGTTTGAGTGTATGTTTAGTTTTGATGAACTGTTTGACAGTAAGTTCATAGCAGTTCATCAGTTTGCATCTCATGTGACCAAGGACAGTCTTCTACATAACCACAACACCATCATCACAGAACATCAACATTACTCAGTAATTCCAATAACGTATGTTCCAGTTGTCTCAAAATGTATTTTATATTTAAAAATACTTGTCATAATGCCTCTGAGGAAGATAATACTTGTTCTTATATATCAGATGAAAAACTAAATCCCCAAATATGAAACATAAACCAATGTGCAATAAATAATTGCCCCCTATGGGTGGCACATGGCCTCTCACATCTACAGCTTCCAGAACCACTTGAGTTTTAAGCCAGGTATGTGACTTATTACTGTAGATTTTTGAGATTTGCTCATTTTGGGCCTGTTCTTTCCTGAAAGTCTCTATAGACTTCCCATGGCCATGTCAAAGTGATGCAGTCTTAACCTGCAGGATTAGGTGTTAAGGTGAGACAATATTGGCATTTGCCTCTGTTTAGAGTCATGAAATTAAATTTCTTTACTGCAGGATGGTTAGGTGCTATGTTCAAAATAAGAGTAGTCTAAGAAATTCATTCTTGTGTTAAGTAAAATGACTGTTTTACTGTAAAATTATTTTGTATTGGTAGATTATATGTCTTAAGTATTTTTTATTTTAAACAATAATGAAAATTTGAGGTCCTCAATTAAAAATCCTGAAGATGGCCTCATACTACCTGCTTTTCCACCTTCTTTCTTCTTTTTCACTTCACTGTTTTAAGGAACCTTTGACCCTGGCAGCCACTAAACTGATGAAAGGAAAGGGAAGTAAGGGGAAATTGGAGTGGAAAGAGAAGGACTGGGTAAAAAGAGACAACTGGAGGAAGAGGGAGAGATGGAAACGCAAGGGAGAGATGGAGGGAGGGAAGGAATGCCCGATGGTTAAGGGACACATTTCCCAAAAGAGTTTGTGAATCCTAACCGATCACTCTTTGTATCTAAGAGGCTTTGTCTAATGACTTTGCTTTTTCATATTTCCTTAAGCAACAGTCAGTCAAGGAAGACAGATCCAGAGGGCAGCCCAGCTCCTGCATTGACTAGATTAGCTGAACTCTGTGCTCTTGGGCATTTACCTGTTGTTTCTTCCCTTCCTATCTGGCCTAAGCTCCCCTACATCCGCCAGGAGGCCACAGGCTACCCATATTTGAGATTGCCCAGGACTTCTGAGAATAATGGTGAAGAAATGTTCCTGGTTCCTGACTGCTCAGGCCTTGGCTGCTGGTCTAACTGGCTCACGAGGGCTCTTGTTATCACCTGTAACCTTGTAAAACAGGGGAAGCACTTACTTTGCAGCCTTCCATTAACATTTTCATCTCCCTAGTATACAGGATTGCCAGGATACATTTTTTTTTCTCCCTCAGCAGCTCCTTAACATCTCACAGCAGCCCTGAGACCTGGAACAGTTCGGTGGTAGTTATTCCTATTTTTATTCTGCCGCTCTATTAACTGGTGTTCAAATTTATATGCACAGAAATAGCTCCTCTATTACTTTGGATTGAATGAAGTCAGCAGAGATGTGATCATATGAATAAATAGGAAATTTTTATTGTTTCACATCACCATTTAAGCACCAAATAGGTTTATTCATATTTTTGACGTACAGAAAAGAGACAGATCATGAGAGTACAACTTGATACACAAACTAAACACTCAGCATCCAGCATTTAAAAAGAAAACATAGATCCTACAGCAGCATCAAAGAGGTCATTATAGGGTTAGGAAGACTGGCTTCCCAGCCAGTGCCTCACCAGGGCAAGCACTGGGCTGACTCCTAACAGCAAGGATCAGTGTGATTACTAATAAATTACTTTATGTGAACAAAGCTCTAAGTGTATTTGACAGGTGAAACAAAATTTTATTTCTCTAAAAAAAGGTTTTAGAAACTCATATATATCTTGGGGATAGGGGAGATAGAGGGTAAGAAAAAGTACAGTGAGAACTTTAAAACAGAGTTTTTTCTTTTGCTGGTTTTGAAATGCAGGGTAATATTACAGCAGCAAGTCACATGGTGAGGCTGACAGAGGAGTCCAGAGTATCTGTGGACAGAAATGTACACGGAGCTGCCATGTTGCGAAAGTTAGGAGCTTGGGAAATTTTTTAATGTTTGCTTTCTGACTTCCAGGAGGTCTTGTATTGCATATGTGTTTATGTGTATTTTATTGCTTTACATGTTATATCATGAGTGGCTTTCTGAGTGGGAGCTCACTGACTCCCTCAGTCTTCATGTAGAGTGGAGAATCTCTGCCTTCTGTTAACGTGTCTGAGGAATCAAGGGTAGAAACAAGTGCTATGGTGATGGGATGAGTCATGACCAGCTAGAGCCCTTAAATGTTCTATGAATTGCATCTTTCTTGACTGAGTTGTTGTATGGAAGTAGTCTGTGTCTTCAGTAGACACTAATTGTTTCATCAGTTAGATAAAATTGTAAAATCTGATCTTCCCAGTGTATTAGTCAACTCTCTGATGCTAGGAAAAATTACTTGACACTTGCAAGTTAAAGGAGGAGAAGTTTATTTGGCCATGATTTCAGAAGGTTCAGTCCATGGTTGGCTGATTCCAAGGCAGAGGAATAGTATGGTAGAAGTATCTGAAGTTCAAAGCTGTGCTATGATCAAAGTTATGCTTTGCTATGCTTAGATCATAGTAGCTGGGAAGCAGATCATGGGGAAGAGAATCAGAAAGGAAAGAGCCAGAGACCAGATAAGGTCCACAAGGTCACATCTCCATGACCCAACCAGATACACCAAGAAGTGTGCTTTACTGATTTCTCCAGCCAATCAAGTTGGCAATCAAGAGGAACTATCCCACGGAGTGTCCTTGTTTGTACTCGAGTCACTGGTTAGTGTTGTGAGGGAGGTAAGGTTCTCAAGTGAAGATTCAAACTCACTTGCAGCATTTTCTGATTTCTAAAAGTATCTGAATTTGATTTTTAAAGAAGCTTTCTTACTTATTTTCTTCATAAAGGACTTTTTTTCTGCATAAAGTAGAAGAATATTTTGTAGAACCCAGCATGAAATAAATTCCTGATTTGGTTAGTAGTGTTCCCTTAAAGAATTAAAAATGCTTTATGTGCTGTGCTTTATGGTTGATCTAGTCCAGTGAGATACATGTTCAAATAGGATGAATAATTTGTTAAAGGTCAGCAGTAAAATGAAACTAAAATTTCATTATACAGTTACACATGTGTGGTAGGGAAATAATGCCTTTTACCCAGTAGTGGTTATGGTATTTATCATGCCTACCAGAGATAATTCAGTTACTCTCTTTTAGAGAAAAATTACCTTTCCAGACCATATTTTCTCTTTAATAAGCTCTTTTATTTAGTAATAAAAACATTTAAAACAATTGAGGCATCTGTAAAAAGAGCTACCTGCTTTATCTGCCTTACTATTTGGCAGGCTTCTCGATCTTTGCTGCAGTTTCAAGGTACTGTGGAGTACAGACATTTTGAGATAAGAAACCTCTTAACCTTCAATATTGAGGTTATCCTTCTGAATTTTGCCTTTAATAATTGTATATAAGGCACTCATTTCTCCATATTATACTCTTTGCTTTTCTGTCGCTATTAGCTTCCCAACCTAAGTCACATTCTTATGACTACTTTGTAACAGACTGGGGGGACTAAAAAGTAAAGTATGTAGATAAATGAGTGTGCCCTCCTTCAAAACACTGTCTTTATTCTGGCAAGGTTGTGTCAGAGGCTAAGGCTCATGCCTGTAATCCCAGCACCAGGAGAGGCAAGTTTGATTTCTGTCTGGGCAGTTGATCAAGACTGTCTCAGAATAAATAATAAAAAGGGATGGGGATGTAGTTCAGTGGTAGAGTACCCCTGGGTTTGATCCCCAGAACTGCCAAAAAAAGAAGTAATGGGGAACCAAATTCAGTCAAGCATGGGGAAGGGAGCTGGCATTTACTGAGCTTCTAAGCAGGAGCTGTTTATGTGCGCACCCCTCTAGAAAGGGTCTGGTGTCTCCATGTCATAGCTGGGCAAGTTCAAGATCTAAATGGCCTCCCCATGTCCACCTAACCAGTAAGTAGATACCATTCCAGGACTGTTTGGTACCAGAGTGATTTATTCTTCTCTCTGTATTATGGTGATTATTTTATTTACTCTTTTTTTAACTATGTCTCTAAAATGTGTCTCTAAAGTCATAAAACTAATTGTTTTTGTTAAGGTTTACAAATCAATACTGGATGCCGATGAGTAAGAGAAAATAAAAAATATTTTGAAACATGTTATCATTATTGAAATAAGCAAATTCTTGGTGGGAGAACTCTAATACAGATAACTGTTTTCTACAAAAGTACATGAGAAAGGGCCGGGGATTTAGCTCAGTGGTTCTGTTGCCTGCCTCAAAAGCGCAAGGTCCCGAGCTCAATTCCTGGTACCAAAAAAACAAGTATATGAGAAAATAAGCATCTGAGAGGATGCATCATATGTAGAAGACCTCACCCATTTTCACAAATTATGTGAATTTCACACTAGATATTTAAAACATTTTTGATTAATGCATTGGATAGTCACTCATCTCATACATTATGGAAGTGAGTAGCAACTTTAATTATGACTGGTTAGAGCACTAAAAGTATTTTGCTGCCATATAGCTGCTCTTTTATAGACAAATAATTATACTAAGGTTGAAGTCAGGAAGGACAGGATCACTAGGTATCACTGACATTGGGAGCTTAGTGTCCTGTGAGGCTCTGGCACCAGGTCAGAGACCTTGACTATCTCAAGGTTAGGCCAGAGGGAACCTTCGGTGTCACAGAACTTGGTATAGCCTCTTTAAAAAAAGTCTTTAAATGGCCATGCCTGGTGGCACATGCCTGTGATTCCAGCACTTGGAAGGCTGAGGGAGTAGGATGGAGAGTTCAAGGCCAGCCTGGATTAGTCTTTAAGGGATTGGAATTTTGCCAGAAATATTGCTGTTCTAAAACAGCACATAATTCTTAAGATGTAAAATATAAAACTTTTTATATCAGAAGTCCAAAACAACTTCTTGCTTTTGTCTTATGACTTTTTAATCTAAATAATTTAAAGTTTGACATCATTAAAAAATTGTTCTATAGAGTCCAAGATATGTAAAGGTATCACTTACACTCCACATAAGTGTTGGTGTATAATATGGGTGTTCAATAAATGATTTCTGAGCTAAGTTGAACTCAGAACTTTTCAAAGTATGTTGAACATATTATACTTAACTTCATAGTCTCATATAATACCTTTTTGCTATCTCTTTTCTCAAATATACTAACCAGTATAGAAGAACCATTAATATAATTGACACAAATAATTTTAAACTTGTGTGCACACATGTAGAAATGTGTGTGTGTGTGTACAAACATGGGGGCCAAGGACAAGCCAAGCAGAAAGACTTTGTGCTCTTCTGGAAGAATTGGGGCCAGCTCAAGGGTAGTGAATCTTATTTGAGACAAAACCAAAACTCATGCCAATCATTTAAAATATCTCTTTCCAGAAACCGAAAGCTCTGCCATCTCCCGCCGTAGAGGAGGATCCCTGCCTTGCTTTTCCTAAGCCCCCCGTGGACCCTGCGAAGATTAGAAGAATAAGCAGTGCCCGGGCACGCTTATTCAGGGCAGCCTCCCAGGGGGCTCTTCTGCCGAACAAATCCCTTCCGTCTGCCGAGTGTAAGGCCATGTAATGTCCTTTAAACCCTGGGGACAGGCATGCTGTTTGAATTTTGTACAAAAGCTATTTTTATATGAATCTTCCTCACCCAAGATGATTTTTATATAAACTAAGACTTAGTTAATATTGGGCAAACCTGGCTAAAACACATTGTTCCTCTATTTTTCTAGGTATGTATAAAGAGTATCTACAGTTAGGGGTGTAGCTCAGTGGTAGAACACTTGCCTACCATGAGAGACTGTGGGTTCAATCCCCATCACAGGAGAAATAAAAAGGACTATTTAAATATCACAGTTTTTAAAAACATTATTTGGTAGAAAAAATATTAGGTTAAGTGTTTCCAAATGGATGATTCATATATATCAGAAAAATCTGTAAGTCAGAGTTCACAAAGTTGTTAATTTTATTAGAAATATATGAGAACTATAAGATTCTTCTAATGTACGCTGAGCTTAGGCTTTAATACCTTTCTGATCTTTGTTGAATATGTAAGCAAAACTTAAATAGAACTTTTCCTCCTGCCCCAGAAATGCTGGCAGGTTCCCAGAAATGCTGGCAGGTTCCCAGAAATGGAACAGAGAGGCTGCAGACCTCATAGGTAGAATCACCTCCCACCCAGACATGCCAAGGGTTTTCCAAACTGCAAGAAGGGATCCACTAGTGGATAAGAATCAATTTGGGGATTTGATGGGATCATACTAAAAAAGTGGGGATCACACTGGCATTTAAAAAAATGATGTAGAATAGAAGTAATGGAAAATATCAGGATACATGGCATTACAATAAAGGTAAGTATTGCTTCAAGCGACTTCACTTCAGTTGTGTAACACTCGGGGTCATGTGATAAATCTATTTCTTGTTGTGTATGGTCAAAAACTTTGGTAACTGCTTTACCGGGAGCTGACAAGCCTAACTGTCGCTCAGACAGCAAGCGGGGACTGCTGCAAGGGGCCAGGTGCACAGTCCACAGAACCAGAGGCTGTCTAAAGATGGATCCCAGCAGGCAAAAGCCTCCACCTGAACACCACCCATGTTTGCCATACTAGGATTTTCTTTTAGTTAGTTACTAATCTTTAAAAAGTAGAAGATTTATGACTTATCTTGAAAATTCAGATGTGGCAACACCAGGTCCCCATTCATGAGGGGATGAGTAGAGCCCAGTAGAATCCACCCCATACCCTGGAATATGATCTGCAGTTCACTCTGCCTGTTCACTTCAGTCATTTGCCTGTTTGTTTCCTGGTAGCAATGAAGAGGTAGAATCAAGGAGAAAGGAAGGTCAAAGAAGTAGTACAGTTGTGTTTGTGTGTCACACCGTGATGCTGTAACTAGGTGTATCTTCAGGCAGTTTTACATTGATGTCCCAGTTTGTTTCTGTTCTAACATAGTCATAGTGAGCCCCTACCAAGTTTCAGGCACCATTCAGAGCCAACAGAGTCTCACTTTCAGAGAGCCTATGGAAAACGAACAAAACGACAATTAGAGTTCTAATGGACGATCTGAGGAAGATAAACAAGAAAATGAGGTAGGAAGTGTGTCCTGGTTTATATCTGGATGCCCCCCCCCGCCTCATTTTGCTCATAGGTGGGGCCTTTGGGAGGTGGATGGATCATGGAGACATGATACTCATCAGTGGATTAGTCCACTGAAAAGTTTACAGCTAAATGTGATGTTGGGAGGTGAAGTCTGGTTGGAAGAGGTGGGTCACTGGGCATGACCTGGAAGGGTCTATCTTCCTCCCACTCTCCTTGATATCTCTCTCTCTGCTTCCTGCTGTCCATGCCACCAGCTGTTTCTCCTCTGCCACACCCCTCTGCTGTGCCATCCTGCCTTGGTGCCAGCTAACTATGAACCAAAACTTCTACGAACTGTGAGCCAAGATAAACCTTTCCTCTTTATGGTTGTGTCAGGTATGGTGTCACAGGGACAAGAAAGTAAGACAGAGTGGCTATGGAAGGAGTCACTTGCTTTAGCTCAGGGCTCACTGAAAGATGTCTTTGAGAAGGTGACATCGGAGTTGAATAATGAGAAGGAATCAGTGTGGAGACATCTGCAGACAAAGCACCACACTGAAGGAAAAGCAAGTAGAAAGGCCAGCAGTGCACACAAGCTGGGCCAGAGGGCTGCCTTGGAATGTGGGGAATGGACTAGGCTTTATTTTGCCTGCAGTGAAAAGCCAAGGCAGAGTGTAAGCAAGGCAGAGACAACACCAGTTCTGTTTTCTGCTCACCAGTGGATCTCAATTGTAGCTGCACAAGAGAATCACCTGCTGGGGTCCTGTGTCAGACCAGTTGGATCAGAAAAGATTGATGATTACAGGAGCAGAGTGTGTGCCAAGATGAGAAGGCATAGGCTCTGGAGCCCAAGGTTACTTCTCACAAACAGGATGTTCTTGCTTCTGAGCTTTAATGTTGTTTAATGCATTTAACTCTCCTAAGCTACATTTGAAAACCCCGCCACTTGTGGATGTGTCCCCGTGGAAGTGAAGGTGACTGAGGGTGGATGTCTGCAGCTGTCCTCATCTTCAGTACTCCCATTGGCTTAGCCCCTGTTTGGCAGCACTGAGACCCTTGCCTGCCTCCCACATACAGCAAAGGGACATCTGTGCACTTCTTTTATCTACCCTGTTGTCAGTGGCTCCACAGCCCTGAGGCTTGTGTCTGCACACAGGACATAACAGCTCTGAAAGTCATCCTTTTAAGCAATCTTTTTTTTGTAGAGTATGTGTGCTCTCTACCTTGGAATTACTGTCATTTGTTTTGGAGCTGCCTGCTTTTATTTCTGAGGCTCTCTTCTGTTTAGAAAAGATAGACTTTGTTGGGTAACCGAGACCTGGGAGCCAACTGTGCCTGGAGACTGAGAGCATACCTTTCCCTCTCCCTTGGTGTGAAGTCACTTGTAGGTGATGTCAGTCACCCCATAGGCAGAGTGTGTTGGCAGGTTTGGAATTGCTGGTTTCAGAAGAGGAGAGGGGAAGAGAAGTGTGTTGCCACCTCTGTGGGGCCAGCAGGTCTTCAGCTTGTACTCAGAGGCTTTTAAGGCTGCACAGGTAGGTGCTGTTGCTGATGCCTCCCTTGTTACCAAGGCAGACTGAGACTCGGTGCAGATGCCACCTTCTTTCTAGTCCCTGTCAGACTTCACCACCAAGCCCTCCAGGGCCCCCTGAAGACCACCTGAGTCTGCATTCTCCTGTCCCAGCACTGCTACTCTGCCTTTGTCACTGCTTGCCTCTTTCCTGTGTTGTGCCCCTTGCAGCCATCCTCAGCCTTCCAGGGTCCACACAATAAGCCTGAGTCTCTGGAGCTGCCAGCAGAGGCGGAGGAACCCATGTTCCCAATGGGATGTGGCTGTCAGCAGCAGCCTTACCCTGTAGCCCCGTGAACCATGAACAGTGATCATGTTCTGTGTGTCCCGTCGAGCACAAGAGCTCAGGAATCGGATCAGTTGGATTTACCAGGGAAATCTGGCAAAATGTTCATGGCTTTTTCTTTTGAACAACGAAAAGGGGGTGGGATTCAGTGTTAAAAGTGAGTCAGGGAAGCACTGCCTCCTCCTGGTTGCAGTGCTCAGGGGCATATTAAATGGGTGGGAAAGCCATCCAGGAAGGAAACCTGTTTAATTTTAATTCAGTCCACATTTCCCAAAACTTCCAGACTGTGAAATCTGTCTCTTGGGACCCTTTGAGAAACACTAACCTACTCTACAAGTCAGCAAACTTTTTCTGTAAAGGGCCCAAGAGTAAATGTTGTAGACGCTGTGGTCCATTTGGTTTCTGTCCAGCCTATTCCACTCTTATTAAAGTGTAGAAGCCACCATTGCCTGATTTATGACCACTGAAATGTGAACTTCATGTAATTTTTGCTTGTCATTAAATATAGTTCTTCCTTTGATTCTCCCTCCCCCGCCTAGTCTCTCCAAAATACAAAAGTCATTCTTAGTTTGCAGGCTGTCTTAGTTACTTTTCTCGTTGATGAGACAAAGAACCTGACACCCAGAGTTAAAGGAGGAAAGGTGTATTTAGCTCACAGTTTGTAGAGGTTTCAGTCCATAGTTGGCTGGCTCCAAGGCAGGGTGTCACGTGGCAGAGGGGCATCACAGAGGAGAAACAGTCCATGGCAAAGTATGGTAGGCAGAAGGCAACAAGCCACAAGCAACCCTTATTCTCTCTCATGTTTTACTCATACCCTTAATCCTAGCATTGTACCATGAATCAGTCCCAGCATTGGATCCTTCATCTCTGCAGCACATACCCTAGATCCAGGCACCTCCAAAAAGTCACACATATGGCTTTAGGGGACATCTAGATACAAGCCATAGTACAGGCTATGCAAAAATAAGAGGTGGCCAGACTTGGTGGAGCTGTAATTCAGTGATCCCTGGTGGAGGGAATAAAGTCCTGCCTGTGTGCATAGCTCTCTGCTAAGGCTGCAGGCCCTTGGCTGTTAGTGGCAGTGGTGCCCCAGTGGTGTGGAACCCTGCAGTTTCCTCACCCACCCTGCTCTCTCAAGCCTCAGGTCGGACCTGTTCTGTATAATTTGCTGGGCTCAGTGCAAAATGAAATATGGGTGATCTTTATTTCACAATTCAAAATTTCAAGATGCTAACAGTAGAGCATGAAACTGAGCATGGGGCCAGCCATCCTGTGCAGGGCACACACACATGAAGTTGGCTTTGTCTCCAGACTTTGGCTCCTTTTTCTTCAAATTGTTTGCCTCCTGTCCACCCTTCCAGGTGTTTCTCAAGCTTCACCTCTTCCACAAATCTCCCCCATACCAACTCCTAACCTCTCAAGGATTCTCCACTTTGTACCTCCTTGTTTCTTGGTTGGTGCTGTACTGTACTGCATTAATATCTATTCACATTTGCCTCTCTCTCCCCTACTAGCCTGAGCAATTTTAGAAGGAAAAGGAGTTTTCTTTAATTGTGACCCAAAAGCTTTTAACAGTTTGGGATGCATGGCAGGTATGAAAGAGATGCCTGTGACATGGAACTATGTCCTTTGCAAGTTTACCCTCGACCCATTAGAGAATTAGTCTTGCACATATTTGCCAGGACTAAGCCAAGCATGGTGGACTTCCTTCAGGGTCACAGTGAGCCCTAGCACAACCAGCCATGTACTGTAGTGACAACTGACAAGCTCACTCCTTATAAGTAGATTATAAGGAAAGAGGGGTACGGCACCTCTGCCTCTATGTACATTTGTGTTTCCCCTTCTGGAAGCTTCAATGGTTGAGACCTCTTGTTTACCTAGAATCACTCCTGCATAGGACAGCACCCAGCCCATAGTAGTGGATGCTTAAGAAATATGTCGAGTTTTGAATGAAAGAAATGGTAAAATATAGTGATAGGCTAAAAGTATGTTGTAATAAAAAACAGAGTGTGTGCTTTGTAGCAAAGGTATTTAAGGTGGCCTGGTGCTAGGGAATGAGCCACAGACCAGAAGTCAGGACTCTTAGGTCCCAGTAACAACAGTGACAATGACTCCTGAGTTTTCAGTTTGCCAACACCACAGTAGTCATTGTGCTAGGCCACATCCTCTCATTCTCACCACATCCCCAAGAGGTGGGGCACTGGGGAAGGTGAGAGGGAAATTGAGCAACTCGCCCACATCACAGAGCTGTGTTCCAGGGCCTGCACTTGCACCCCTGTCTGATGGAATAAAAAAGCTTAGCTCTTCTCCCTCCTGTAGTCTGACTTGCTTGGTGCCCATGGACAGGTCACTTGACCTTTTGGGTTATCGGTTTTCTCATCTGAAAAATGAAATTTTGACTGGACAATCTCTAATGTTAAATGGAAGAGAGAGAAATACGAAGTAGGGAGAAGTTGAAATACTTCTCCAAATTACATAGTCTGTTGTTTTAAAATAGTTCAATATATATACTGATGTTTCATTTATGCTACTGTCTTAGTTTATTGAAAAGAAAGTTATGTGTTATCTGCTTGTTTCTTTTTTTTTCTGCTTGTTTATGTCTTGTACTGGGTACCTACTTTGAAGATAATGATATACAGTATAACTATTGTTATTCTCTTATTATTTGGTTATAAAATTTTGTTTGATTTTTTCATAAAATAAAGAGATTGGTCAGTTTGGTAAAATAGGTGGTTTTGTTATTGTTAGTTTTTATTGGTTTGTTGGTTTTTAAATAAGTGTAGAAAAAGAAACTTTGAATTATTTTGGGAAAGCTTAAAACACTATTTTCTATACAAAGCTCATTTCACCCCAATCCCCCACTGTACTTAGTTACTTTTCTCTCTGCTAAGACAAAATACCTGACACCCAGAGTTAAAGGGGAAAAGGTTTATTTGGCTTACAATGTGTAGAGGTTCAGTCCAAAATCAGCTGGCTCCAAGGCAGGGTGGCAGAGGGGCAGTAGTTCATGGTGGTGGAAGACAGCAGAAGCAGTACGGGGGCTTAGCAGCTTCTCCCTGCTCCTTTTATCTTATTCAGACTACTTAGAGCAGGTAGCACTCCCACCCTTAATCCTAGTGCCCTCCAGCCTAGCATTGCACAAACTCTAGATTCAGCCACCTCCAAAATAGCCTATGACCACGTGAGGCTTTGGGGGGACATACAGGCACAGACCATAACAGTCACCATACTATGAGATTTTTGCTCTCTCTTCCCCTGTGTTTTATCGCAGACTAGAGCATACTAGTAGCATAGAAAGTATTTCTAGTGACATTTGCTTGTACCTAATATAGCATTATTATATAGCATATTCCATAGAATACATAATATATATATATAATAGAGCATATTCCTAATGACAATTTGCTGATAAGAAAGTGTTGTAAGTCTAAGAATCTGCATTCATAAACATAATACATCCTTCATTTCAGAGGCAGGATATCTTCTTGCAACACTCTTACTCTTCTTTGTAATTGTGCCCTCGCCCCTCCCCTTTCAAGGCATAACAGGCTCTCCTGAGCCTCTGCGCCTTGTGCCCCATCCCTCAGACAGCCTCCCCTTTTCTCTCCCCTCACACTCCACTCTTGCTGCTCCTCAAGCACCTCAGGCACGCTCCTGCCTCCGCGCCTCTGTGCCAGCTGGGCCCCAGCTCAAAATACTACTGCCCCTCCTCTGATGGCACTGGGGCCCACCATCCTTGCTATGCCAGGCCCCTCTGTTTAGAAGTGCTGACTTCCTTCCACCAATTCCAATCCAATCCTACCCTTCTCCACTTTTCTACTGTTTCTTTTACTTGTGGCACTTATTATCTTAAAACAGATCATGTGCTACCTTATTTCACACTGCTTGCCTGTTTACAGCTATTAGGATGTAAATCCCATGAAGTCAGGGATTTCTGTTTTGTCACTGATATACCCCAAGTGCCTAGGCCAATGCTGAATAGGTCACGATCCTGTACATTTTACCTCTAGAATTGATGGTGCTGAGCCTACAATTGTGATAAAGTCTTGTTTATGTTCAGAAAGGCTTTGACGGTAAAACTCCATAAAACTCTGGATTATAATGTATTTTTAAATTATGTAAGTTCTTAGATTAAAAATATTGAAAGGTAGTGATTCCTAAAACAAGAAATGCTTTGACAAAACATTTCCTTGATTATTATAGCAAAGAAGACAGTGGAATCCAAAGAAACAGTTATGATGGGGGATTTGACAGTGAAAACAAATGGGATTTATTTAACAGAATCAAATGCCATTGGCAGTTTAAAGAGCCACCCACTTCAACTAACTTACGATGGAGGCTTCAGAGAAATCAAAGAGCAGGCACTGTTCAGAGGAACATCCTTACCACCTCATCTGAAAAATGGAGGGTCAGTACTCTTTTTATTTAATTTTGGGGTCAGGATAACTATATCATTTACCAGTTGTTCTTTGTCTTACATAGAAGGTAGGTTTGCTTTTCCCCCTTTTATATAATAAACAAATTTTAAGTTAGTGCATGAGTAGAAGAGATTTTTTTTTTTGTGGCTGATGGAGTTGATTTTTTCCCTCCTCTCCTATTTAATCCTCAGGGAATCTTTTATCTTTAATCTTCTCCCATAGAACTTTTCAGGATTAGGTTTGGTTGGACTGTTCAAACCAGCCCGGGAGTGATGACTGATCATTCTGTTTGTGTGTTATTTGGGATTCTTTTTTTTTTTTTTTTTGGTACCGGGGATCGAACTTGAGTCCTTGCACTTGTACAGCAGGCGGCAAAACCACTGAGCTAAATCCCCAGCCCTTATTTGGGATTCTTGTCTGGCCTAGAATCTCCCCTTACCTCTTTTGGGTTTGGTCCACTGATGCTTAACTCCACATATTTATTGTGCAAATGAGTGGTTAAAACGGTAGAGTCCTCTGGGTTTCTGTTACCTATGCTATCCCTCTATTAACCACTCTTTTTTTTTCTTAAATTCTTTTATTAGTACATTTTAGGTATACAATATGTTTACATTTATCATTGGGTGCTTGTACCTGTACATAATGTATCTTGGTTCCTATTTTTTCCCCCATTACCTGTGTTCCCTTCATCCCCTCCACCCTTCCCTATTTACATAGATTTCATTTCCATTTTTTTTTCTTTTCTCATAATTTTTCCTTTCCCTTTACTCTTAAATGAATGTTTAGGACTTTATTTCATATCATGTTCCTAGATTGGGCTTGTGACAAACAAACATTCTCTGAATGGGCCATGTGCATTCTTCCCCTGCATGTTACTAAAAAAGCCTGAATAAGGCAGAGTGAGGGAGACACTGGGGAGAAGAGGCTGTTTCCCAGCCCTAGCCAGTGGTGATGCTAAGATATCCAGAAGGTCTTGGACTGGGCAGGGTCACTAAGTTAGATATTTTCTTCTAGGACTTTCCATTGGGTCATCATGGACAATTGCCCAGTTCGAATTTGCTTAGTAAGTTACATTCCAAGGGCCATTTTAAGACCAAGTCCTTGTTCCCACTTTAGACTTGGGGTCTGACTTTGGCTTGTCCACATGTACAACTGAAAACTTTTCCCCAAAGTGGCTGCTTGGCAGCCTGTCAGTTTAGCTGAGCTGACCTTGTCTGCCTACACAGCCTAAAGAGTGCCACACACATGGAATTTATATTAGGCAACCTAATATAAATTCTTGTGATGTCCTTCTGCATTCAGAACATTTTTTAAATTAAAGGACAAATGAAATGTCTCCTTAAGTGGAAGAGAACAACTTTAAATTGGGACTCTGGGAGTTGAACACAAAACATCAAACTGGCCATGGCAGACACATCTTTTCCAGTTGGTGAGTAAGAATAGGCTGTGGCCTTCAGAGCCAAAACATAAAAGGCAGCAGGAAAACTTGTGTTCCTTTCAGGACTAAAGCAAAAAGGAAACATTTATCTTGCTGCATCCATCCTTGGAGTAATGAAGGTTGACTAGAAAAACCAGACGAGTTATTTAGTTTGTTTGTTTATTTTTGCAAACCTTCAGATGTTACAGAACAATCCAACAAGCCAGAGGTCATTATGCCTTCCCCATTCTGGGACAACAAGGGCATTTTCAGTTGCATATTTTATCCCACAAGCAGCAAAGGACACATCAATTAGGGAATAGAAGCACTTCTTCCTGACTGTCCAAAATGATGAGGCATTGGCAGCAGCACTAATTGTTTTCTTTGTGTTTTGTAAGGATGGTTTTCGTGTTGTATGATGACTGTGTCTGAGTTGAGTTTGCAGTACGCCCTGGCAAGTTTAACTTTCAATAACATTTCTGCTTTATGAATCTTTACCTCCTTTCATCACTGGATGGAATTTTGTTGAAGTAGTGCCAACCAAAAAGTTTATACAGTAGGATTAAAACAAACAAGAAAATGGAAACTCTTAGCAATTCTCTCATTAATTACATTTATGAATCAGTCTGGGACACTTGATAATTGTTTCTTGTAAATATTTAAGTGAATAATTCCAAGAAATGATCTTTGCTATGCAGTGGAGTATTCCCAGTTTGATGTGAGAGCCCTACCCTCAATTAACATTTTTTTTTACCATGAGACCATAAAGTAGAAAATAAAAACTTGTCAGGGAGCTGGGCTGACAGAAAAAGGGAGGGAAGGGAATGGAGATGACAGGGGGCTAAGAAGAAGCATGAGCACATAGATCATGGAAAGGGGACAGAGCAAGTGAGGACAAACTCACTCCCAGCGCTGGGTCCTCACGGGCTTGTGTAGCCTTTGTGTTGAGCACTTCCTTGGGCTTGAGAGAGGAAGGAACCGTTTATTTAAAATATGTATAATTAAGGGATGGTATGGCCTGGAATTTAACTTTATGCTCAGTATGATGGAAAAAGGATTTTCTAAGCAAGATATTATTGCAAACAGCATAACTGGTAGTTGGAGTGGGGGTGTGACTCAGCAGTAGAGCGCTTGCTTAGCTGGTATGCACAGGCCTTGGGTTTGAGCTCCAGCACTTAGGGAAAAAATATGTTGGGGATGATGTATCTTTCCAAAAAAGAACTTATGGAACTGTCATCCTCAATCCAGGTGCTTATCACGACAATCTCCATGTATCCATTTAGGAATTCACTTAAGGCTTGGAAGGTTGCTCCTCCATAACACTCCTTTATCTCTTGCTCAGTATTACCACATGGATTGAAAATAATCAAACTGTGATTAAGGAGAAGTACATGTGTAATCTCCATCCATCCTCCCAAGGGCCCAAGCTAACACTAAAAACCTCGTAAACCTTGCTTTATAAATGCTGTTCAGTTTGCCATGGCTTGGAAAAATGACCTGGAGGGGAGCCCAAGACCAGTCAGTTATGCCAAGTCCAGAACTCTTACCTGGGAGCCAGAATCTGGAGCTAGGTCCTGTTCTCCCTCAGCTACTTGAGTTAGCTGTATGGCCCTGGCAAGTCTCCTAATACTTTCAGAGGCTTAGTTTTCTAAGCTAAAAAAATGAAAGTAACTGTATTCCTTCACTCTCATCTCCTCTGGGCCTTAATGGAAATTGTGGGATGATTACTAAGGTTTGAGATCCTTATTTGAAAACTATCAAGCCCTTAGTATTGTTGGAGTAAAATATAAAAACTAGGGGGCTTCTGGCTAAAGCTGGCAAAGCAAAAGCATTCTGTAGAAACCCAATAAAAGCAGCAAAAAAATGAAAAACAGAAATAAATTGTCAATGGAACAGAAAAAATAGAGCCCCCAAAGGGCATGGAACAAACTTTGAATCCTAGTGTAGGCTTGATTTTTTGTCTGCCTGGTACACTTCCATATGGGGAACAAGCCTGCGCTGTATAGTGGATCCCACTCAGACCATGTTTAGGTGACCTCCCTCCCTCCCTCCCCACAGGTAGCTGTGTGTCCAAGGGCTTCTTATCGGAGCTCTCCAACCTTCAGCTATCACACTTGGTTCAGAGACAGGCAGGTGGTCCAAGCCAGGCAACCTGAATCCCTTCCTGAGACTTTCTCCAAGACCTTTGAGGAAAGTAGTCTTTCTCCAAATTCATAAGCTGTCAATATAATGTGGCCTTGGAGCCCACTGTGACCCCTTTATTGTCTTGTAGAAAGAGGCTCTGAGAGAGAAGTGGTATGTAAATAAATAGAGCCAGAGAATGGAGGTGGTGATAGTTCAAGGATATGCTACCCTCCTAGATCCAGCTGTGCCTGAATCCATTACATCAACATTGTAGACTGCTCTGTTTTATGAGCCAGTATGTTCTTTTTTCTATTTCTTTTCATTTTTTTCTTTTTGGTACTGGGGATCAAACTCGGGTCCTTGTGCTTGCACAGCAGTTGGTGAAACCACTGAGCTAAATCCTCTGCCCCTTTTTTCTATTTCTTTTCTTTCCCTCCTTCCTTTCTTCCTTCCATTACTTCAGATTAGGTTTTTATTACTCCTAGATCCAGCTGTGCCTGAATCCATCACATCAACATTGTAGACTGCTCTGTTTTATGAGCCAGTATGTTCTTTTTTCTATTTCTTTTCCTTCCTTCCTTCCTTCCTTCCTTCCTTCCTTCCTTCCTTCCTCCCTTCCTTCCTTCCTTCTATTACTTCAGATTAGGTTTTTATTACTTGGGACATTGCAATCAAAAAGTCTAGTTAATGTTCCAGACTCTGTAGAATATAGATAAAATAATGGATAATTTGAGATAGACACAAACCTCCTCAGACCTTGAGTAAGAAACAGATTTCATGAAAAGTGAGTGTCTTAGTTTACAAAGGTGTACCCAGTAGCCATTAACTAAAGAAGTGAGATCCAATGAGGTAGGCCAGCCACAGAAAAGTAAGGGTACCCTGTAAAGAAACAGATTGTGAAATGCGGGTAGTAACTGGAGCTGAGGGTGACACTCCCCTCATTACCTGTGAACCAGCTAGTGTGTGTGTGTGTGTGTGTGTGTGTGTGTATAGAGAAGGGGCTCAGTTAATAGAACTTATGGAGCCTATCATGTATAAAGGGGGTAACATACATAAAAATGAGTCACAACAACCTGCTCTGTACACACCAAGGGAACATGTGCTCCCAGGCCAACAAAAATAATGGATTTGGTGATTGAATGTTCAAGAAAACGAATTAAAGTTTAGGCTACAGAGTACCCCAGTTTTCTCCCACTGTGGATTCTATAAAGAAAAATAATATGAGAAATAATGTTAGGATAAGATTGACTTAAGCCTAGATATGTAAAGAACAGAAAAACAGCAGAATCACCAAAGGTAGTACCTTGCAAAAGCATAGAAGAATTAAAATAGTTTTCCATTTTCTCATAGAAATTAGAGATAATGTGATCGTTTTCTTTAAAAAAAAATAAATTACTCTCTTTGGGTTATAAGAATTAAGACTCATGATTATAAACCCACACAAAGAGA